GCGGCGTTTAGCTCAAGGTTGATCCGATTTATGAACGCTACTGTCGGCCAGCGGTTCTCCACCGCTCCCGGCCGCAGCGCCCGAAGGTTCACTTAGGGACTATCAACAAATTACCGAACCAAACATTCCTGTCAAAGAAATGTTAATAAATGCCTTGAATTGTAACCAACGAACTAATTGTCAGTGCTAATTCAGGCTTTTACATGAGCCAAAATAGCATCTATAAAATTTTAAATTCAAATAATGTTTTCTTCAATAGCTTCCAGGTCATGTGACCTAATGACTCAAAATCACTTTGAAATAATTATACTAGTCTCTTTAGATGAGGCACAGACATTTGATTTCCATTTTTAGCCATTTTCCATTTTTTATTAATAATTTTTTTTTTTGTCAAAATTGAGGGTTTTTCTTCAATAGCTTCCAGGTCATGTTACCTAATGACTCAGAATCACTTTGAAATAATTCTATTAGTCTCTTTAGATGAGGCACATTTGTTTTCCATTTTAACATATTTTTTATTTTTTTAGCAATTTGTTTTGTCAATATTTAGTATTTTTATTCAATAGCTTCTAGGTCTTGTGACCTATTGACCCAGAACCAATGTGAAATTGTTCTAGTATCCTGTATAGATGAGGCACAGTCATTTGTTTCATATTTTAATTTTTTTTTATTTTTAGCAATTTTATTTGTCAAAATTTAGTATGTTTTTGCAATAGCTTCCAAGACGTGTCCTATTGATTCAAAACCACTTTGAAATTGTTTTACAAATCATTAGAGATGAGGCACCCACATTTTTCCCCATTTTAGATCTTTATCAATGTTTTACATAATTTAAATTTACTAATTTAAAAAAAAAAGATTGGTGTTTAATAGCTTAAATTTCATGTGACCCACTGACAAGGAATAAAAAGGGCTAAATGGAATAAAAATGTCAATGTCAAATTTATTTATATAGCACTTTACAACAAATATAAAACTGCACCAAAGTGCTGTACAAATGAGTGTGCACCACCTATCCAGTCTAGTAGAATAATTTCACATTGATTATGCTGAATGTGTCTACATGGAAAGTTGGTTGATGTTTAGTTGCTTATAACGAACTTTTGAGAGAAGAGGTGGACTGATTGTATTTGAAACTA